CATGCCTAATGCATACATATCTATCTAACAAATAACTAAACAAGTAACGCTCGTCTAAAAACTCCCTCTACTCTTTCTCGTAGAAATCGCGTTACTAAAGTACTACCGTGCAATTGATTTATATAATTAAACAAAACAGAAGTTAGATTTGAATTCTTCGACGTCGATTACACTTCGATAGGCATCCTACTCGTCCTCTTTTTCCTCTTTTCGTATGAGAAATCCTTTTTTGCTTCACTATTTTTATAAAATCCTCTTTTTCCTTTTTTTTAACAAAAGCTTAAGGATTAGAAAAAAATAATCGATAATGTCAATTCATTTGGGTAAATCAATAGACCTCGAACCAATAAAATCAATAACAAGACTCAAAAGGTTCGAATTAGAGACCGGAATTCCTGATCAAGAAGAAAATGACGGCAATCTTCTTCTGTTAGAAATCTTTGCTGTTCTCCTAAAACTTTTAACCTTTCTTGAGAGGATTTTTACGGTCTCGTGAAAAAATTCTGACACAAAGTGGTCTTGACCTGTATCTTTCGTATAAAATCATGAGTGCATTTATTCTCAAAAAACTCTCAAAGAAAAGCACTAATTATAGTATATCCACTATGTATGTCGAAACAGGTTAGTCAGGATACTCTGCGGAAAATGTCATTTTTTTTACAAACTTTTAGCTCCCCTTTCTCAAAGATAATTAGAAATCCAGGTTTAGTCTGTGGTGAGAACCGAATAGGCACTGATAATAGTTGGAACGATTTCAATACGATCTTTTGATTTGGTAGTGATTAGTCGGATCACTATGAAGCAATGTGAAACTATGCTAAAATTCGAAAATAATAAAGTAAAATGTCATTGTTGTACGTAAAAATAAACATAAATGTAAAATTTCGATGTTTAAATCCAATGAAGTGTATATTTAGAATTCTTGCAAAGCTTAATCGAAAACCAGAAGATTTAGAAATATGAACTGTAACATGATTTTAAGAAACTCGTTTGATCGGTAATATTGAAGCTGAAATATTAATGAAGCGCTCCGAATTCCAAAAACTTATCGCATGTTCCCTCTCACAGGATTAAAGCTTGCCTATTCTTAGTCAAATTTCAAAGAACATGATGAAAACTGAATAACAGTATATTCAAAAATCAAATTGTTTTCTCTTGCACGATTTGCTTGCAGTAATCAATTTCTTTGGAATTCTTAGTGATTTCATACAATGAAAATCGAACAAAATAAATACTGTTGCAGCTGGATGAAAAATTCTTCGCACCTATTTAGAAGTTTTTGTTACGGGTTCAACAAAACGAAACTTTCGAAATTTTTTGTCCAATTTGTTCTCTTTAATATTCTCTGTCTTGCAAAAATATTCCCTTTTATATCTGTATCTCGTCATGAAGAGAACAATCGTTTATCACATATGAACAAAATTACTCTGAATAGTAACATCATTTTTACTCCTTTTTCCTGTATGTTAGTTCTTTCTGTTTAACTACTACCAAAGAAAAACAATTTTTCACGTTGACAATATTTCTAATTTCCAATTCCTTATCTATATGTATTCGATTAATGAGATATCACCCTAGAATAGTTCTGCAATAGCTCCTATGACTATTTCGTGTTTTTTTCATAAGTCTCTCTTTCTGCGGTTGGTAAAATACGAATTGCACGATCATAAGTATCACCATAGCACACTATTCATTTCTTAAGTTTGTCATATCAGTACTGGAACCTGATAACAAAGCACTATTTTTATCGATTGTGTGAACGTTTATCGACATTTTCGAAGTTAAGACTACACAACTGTTTTCCCTCTCTTTTTTTATAAAAATCCTCTATATTTTCTAAATGATGATTCTCTTTTTGCCTCTTTGTCTACAAAGTGTTGATGGGATGCGAGCCCTTCGGTCGACCCTTATAAAAAAAATTCGTTCTATATCTTTACTTAATTTTCAGACTAATCGGTGAAGTGAGAACACACAAGGAAGAAAGCAATCATTTTATTTCTGCTAGACTCTTCTCTACGAGAAACAGAATATTGTAGTATCTATAGCATTACCTCCATATCAAAATAAATTTCGATTATAACTCCAGCTAACCCAACCCAATCAAATATATACATATATAAATGACAGACTACACTTAGTATTTAATAGAGAGTGAAATAAATTTCCAGGGAATTTATTTTGTTTCTATTTTCTTTGAATTTCTAGTGACTTTGTTTTATATTTATTTTATTTGAATTTCCGGGAAATCGGAATTTAGCATGCCCTCTTTCACTCACACCCACCCTATTCGACCAGTCCAGCTTATTTTCATCGATCCCTACCTTATTCCACCCACCCAGTTCATTTTCACTTATACGTACCTTATTTCATCTAGACCCACCCTGTTTCACCCATCCAGCTCATTTTCTCCCTGCCCTATCCTATTTCACTCAGATCCACCCTATTTCACCCACTCAGCTCATTTTCACCCACCCCTCTCCTATTTCATCCACCCAGCTCATTTCCACTCAGACGCACCCCATCTCACCACTCAGCTCATTTTGCCTCACCTGATCCTATTCCATCCACTCAGCTCATTTTCACCCACCTCTACCCTATTTCATTCGGACCCACACTGTTTCACCCAAACTCACTGTTTTAGCCCCGCTCTGATATATTTGGAAGTAGATGTTTTTTTTGTTTTATTGACCTGTGACCTGCTACAAAGAAACAGACAGACAAACTATTTTATTTCATATGACCCTCTCTACTACAGTCGAGAGAAAGAAGCTGAAAAAAATTTTCAGGGTGCACACAACTCGAGTAGCTTTATCTAACCGGCGAGAGATATGGGTCTTCGTGGGTCATCGTGTCTTTTAGAAATGCCCCCAAAGGAGTTGTTAAGATAAAAAAAAACCTTTTTTTTCTTGGTGATTATTCAACAGACAATTTGTATTTACTGTTGTAACATTGTGTAGAAATTCTTGTGTTTATCAAAAAAATGAAATTAACCTTCAAATAGAAAATAGTTTCCTCAGTCCATAAGAGAAAATCAACAACGAAAATAAGTCATTGATTATCACAAAGAAAAATTCTTTTAATTTTAAGATTTTTTCAAGAGAAATTCTTAATGTGAGACGTTTTGTTGTAGGCAGATGAAAAGATTCTCTTTTATGAAAAGATTGTAATACAATATCTTCTGTCAATTGAGATTTTTTCAAGAATATATTACCTTTTCTTTAGATAAATAAAAAAGATATTTGTTCGACAGTATTACAGAGATTTTCATACTTTACAAACGCCAACGCAGAGAGGAAAAAACAAAGACAAGAAGATAAAAAATTCAGATATGTTCTCTCTCTCTCTCTCTCTCTTTGGATGAAGTTAAATTTAGACTAAGAAGGTCACATCATCTTCTTTGTCAATTATATAAGAAAAGAAAAGAAAAGAAAACAAAAACAAAAACAAATATAAAAATTCAATAATTCTCACAGACAGACAGAAAATGAACGAAAGAGAAAGATTAACCTTAGTAAATGTATATCTACAAAAAGAAAGAAGAACAGGAGAAATATGTACACATACGTGATGAAAAGGAAATGTACATGTAACTACACAACGAGAGAGAGAAGGACATAGTTATTAGATTGTTTTCTATTATACAACATTTAAGAAAAAGTTAATAATCAAAACTTTTCTCATCTCTCTTTTCTATTTCATTGAAATTTATTAGAGGAATTTGTTTGAAAATTGTATATAAATATATTGAATTTGAATATGTTCAAATGATCTTTGATATAATTATTAGTTTAAATTGAAATAGAAAAATTTCTTATTCTTTAAAAAATATGATCAATTCAAAAATTTAATTAAAATTTTCTCCATGAGATATTTCTATAGTTAAATAAAGTTGACCCAGTTCTACCCGAATATCTGTATAAACAAAATTGATCTGAAGAAAAAATAAAGTTGAATATTTCAATCTGCACTGATACTTTTCTCTAATCACATGAAAAATCTTTTGAATTTCAAAATTGTTCAACTTAAATAAAATAAACGAAAAAACTTGTCGAATACTCTTGCTGATGAAATTAAATCTTTTAAAGTTGTTTGTTCATAATGATTTTCTGTTGGTCTGTATTTCTTAGAAAATTCTGTAACAATTTCGATTTGATTGGATTACATGATGATATTCTATCGAGAGATTTGAGTTTGTATAAAAAAATGTTTAGATTAGATTTTAGACTTCCAAAGAAACAATATCAAATTTTGTATCTCCGATAGAAATAAATCCATCTAATCTTGAGAATCTTATTGAGTTTGATTCCAAAACATGAGAAGATTCTCAAAGAATTTGATGAAATTAAATTTCAATTAAATTTTAATGTCAATTGGCTTTAAAGAAATGTTTACTTACATTTCGATGTTCAACTACACAAATTAGAACAAAAATTAGTCAAAATCAACCGATTTATTCAGTTGAAAAAAGAAAGAAGAAAATATCATAAAACATATTCAACAATGATTTTCAATTAGACATGAACAAACATTTTGGTCTTTTCTCAAAGATTCATAAAATAAATTGACTCAAACAAATATTTCTCGAATAGAAAATCAAAGATTATTTTGCAAACAATTTCCTATGAGCACATTCTCAATTCATTCAATTTCAAAACAATTCGAAATTGTAGTAAGAAAAACAAAAAATTAATTTGGAAAAAATCTCAACAATAAACAGAACGTCGATCATTTGTATTATCTACAAATTTCAATGCAAACTACGAAATATTATATCAATCGTTGAGATCAAACATTTTTTCTACATAGTTTTTTTTCAATTAGTTCGTTAATGTTACATGCTGAGAAATTCTCGATAGAAAGACTAAAACAATTATTTTATTTAATATCTAATCGAGTGTTACAATTTCAAAGTGATTTTATTAGAAAAGTGTTGAGAAATATTATCAACGAAAAGATTTCTCTTTTTAGATAAAAATCTTTCTCTAATCAATAAAAAAGTTATGGAAGACGTTGATGCAACTGGAATCAATCATCATCAATCATCTTCATTATTAATTGTTTCACCTGTACAAAATTTCTCAGAAAGTCAAAATGAAGAAAATAATTGTCAAGGAGAAATACAAATTGATAGGTTAGTTTCAAATCTTCATTAAAAATAATCTTAATCTAAACTAAACCACGGAAGAGAAAGATTTGTCAAAGTATTTCTTATTCGATTTGAAATACATTTTGGAAAATCTTCTCGCTCGAATTAAGTTTGAAAGAATGAAATGAAATCTTTCAAGAAATAAATTCTCAATTAGAAATAAATATTTAAATCACTTTTAATAACCTTCCAAAGACAAATATATAAGAAGAAAAAAAACAAAATTAATTGTAAGACATTCCCATTCCTTTTCGTTCTTTTATTGATACAAATGTGTTATTGAAGAGAATTCATCTTTAAACGTAATAGAACGAAGAAAATCACTCGTGCATAAATTATTAAGATTTTTCATTTCAGAATATTTTATTTGTTCTCATAGATATTTTTGATAAAACAAAACAAATCGAGTGTTATTCTTCTAATATTTATATATAATAACTAGTGTCCATTTCAAAAAAAAGGCGGATGGGTATTTTTTGAATATTTTCTGATAGAAACAATATACAGAGCTATGGTTTTCACCGTAAGAAACAGCAGATGAAGATTTCTCTAACTACTTCACAAAGGCTGTTATAGGAAACTCTTGAACAATCAGTATGTCTAGCATTAACGCCACATTAGGTCGTTCATTTTCGGGAGTGTTCTATAATCGCCATATCAAAAACTACAAAACTGTGTGAAGGTTTTACTCATGACTACCACTAATTCAATCTTTCCCTGGTAAAAAAAACACTTTGGTAACCCACTTTTCGTGCAAAAAATACAAATTTCTGTGATATTTTGATAAAAAATCGTAACTTTTCATGTCTGAGAAAAAGGCAGACTATTCAAAACATCTCACTAGTAATCTTTGGAAAGTAGTTACAGAAATCTTCCGAGATAGGTTTTGATGCATCTTCATCTGCTCTTTCTAACGGTGAAAACCGCCGCTCTCTATCTTGTTCCTATGAAAAACATATTCGAAAAATACCCACCCGCCTTTTTTTTGAAATGGACAGTAATTAGATTTAAGTTTTTTAATATTTATCTATAAATATATAAAGAAATTTTTCAAATCTTTGTTGATTTTATTTCAATCTTATCTTCTTCGTCAAATATTTCTCAAATTTCTTTACTTTTTCCACACAATTTTATTCAATGTTAGAATTCGATGCGTTTGACCAAAATCTTAGTTAGAAAAAATTTCTTAAAGAAATTGATTGAAGTATGAAAATGAATTTCGTTTATTATTATCGAACACTGATTTGTTGATTATAAAATTATAAAAACAAAAGATCAATAATAGATTATTTGAGAGAATAAATTGAATATTTATTAAAATATTTTATTCTTTATATCAGAAATCGATGTACACACAGATAAATATCGTTGAAAAGATTATTCAATAGATTTTGTCATTAATGAGTTTATCGACTATTTTGTTTATGCAAAAATCGATCTATGTATAAAAAAGAAATTCTTTGCAAAATTATCTTTGATAAATCATTTGCTTTTTATTGTGTACTAGAAGAAGTACTCGCTGCAAATTCTCTCTTACACAGTTGTCGCTGTAAAATCCCTCTGATACGGTTCCCGCTGCAAAATATTTATATTTCAAGCACCTTCCGTATCCGACCCCCTCGCTACTTGTCCTTGTATATACAGAAGTGTGATTGATGGTTTGGTGACGTTAGCTATAACAGAACCACCTGGGTAAAGTATCAATCACGCCCCTTCCTCCGATGACTATGCCAGTCCCCGTCGACCGTCCTTGGGACCTAAGGAAGCGTCATGGAAAGTTTGGTGATCATAACTATTACAGGGATCGAATGCATAGCGAATAGAAGATGTGCGCTCAGACGGCCTTCGCTATCAATGTTTTTTTAATCTTTTGAAATGCTGCAATCCTGTTGTGTTAGACTGTAGCTTCAGCTACGTCTGGTTCCACTTTATTACCACTAAGACAAGATAGAAAGATCACACTTGGTTCAGATGACCAATCAAGAGGAACTAGAAGTGACAGAAGAAAAGAGAGGTAGTGGTGAAAGATGCCACTACCTAACACGTCCGCCCTTTAGCAGTGAACGGTTTCATCTGTTCACAGAAAGAAGTGCTCAACACAGAAACAAAAATAAACTAAATGAAAGAAAACATAGAATAGAATACCATCATAGCTGAACATGGAAGAAAAACAAAAAAAGAATTGTAAAAAGCAAAAACGTGACAAGAAATCTATTGTTGTTTCATATATATATATATGAAAATCCTGAGTGATAGGTTGAATTATATGAAAAGATCAGTGCACCAGGAGAGTGTGTTAAGTGACGGATCGTATACCATGTACAGGTACTTGTACTATATGTTGAGCAATAGAATATTGAGGATTCAAGCGGTTTCGATCAGATCGTGTTTTAGAAGATAGTTGATGACGGAGATTATTTTGTCGAGCAGCAATTTTTGCATGTTCAATAAATTGTTGCATAGTATCATGGAAATTAGAAACATTATGAGAACTAAATGAAGTTGATGAGGATAAATCAGCTATGAAACGAGGTGGACGAGTAAACATTAATTCAAAAGGAGTATAACCGGTAGAATCATGTCGAGTAGCATTATAATTAAAAGTTGTAGCTAGTAATTTATCATCCCAATTAGATCGCGATTGATTAGAAAGTGCAACTAAATTCGGTACAAGAGTTGCATTATGTCGTTCACATTGACCATTAGCTTGGGGATTGTAAGGTGTGGTTTTAACATGACAACATTGAGTTAATTTGAGTAGTGATTCATATAAAGAAGAACAGAAATGTTGACCATTGTTAGTAATAATTTCCAATGGAACACCATAGATCATAAATACATCATATAATAAAAATTTAGCTGCTGTTGTGGTAGTATTATCACCAACTGCTTTGGTGATGACAAACTTCGAAAAGAGATCAGTTAGTACAAGAAAATATTTATTACCAGATTTTGATTGAGGTACCGGACCAACATAATCCATTGCCAGACGTTCCCAAATGCCACGAGGTGGTTCAATTGCATGTAAATGACCATCCAGTTTTCGACGAGAAGGTTTATTCTTTCGACAATTGATACATGATGAGATATGTCGTACTATACCCTTGTACATGTTCGGCCAGAAAAAACGATCACGTATTTTATAAAAAGTACGTTTTATACCAAAGTGACCACCATTGAATGTTGAGTTATGATATGTTAATAACACTTGAGAAATTAATGAAGCAGGAACATAAGGTATTTCAAGAACATGACCAGTTGGTCGAGTGACAATTTTATAAAGGATATCATGGTCATCAAGTTTATATTTAGAATTTAATGGAGAAATATTTTTTATGTTTTGAATAACAGGATCTTGATGTTGATGTTGATGTTGATGTAAAATATCATGATCAAATAAAAACTTAATATCATTAAGTGATAAAGATGAAGATATAGTAGGTGAATTAGTTGGAGATGTAGAAGATGATATTGGTGTTCGAGGTGGTGTAGACGATGATGAAATTGTTGCTGAAGGAACTAAAGGTGGATGTTGTCGTGTCATTGAACGAGTAGTAACCATACTAATAAAAAGATCGTCAGTTTGAGTTGAAGAAATGTGAAGAAGAGCTGTATCATCATCAATCAGATTAGGATGATCTACTGGATAACGAGAGAGTGCATAGCAGTAGTGTTGTCTTTTCCAGATATGTGTTGAATAATCATATCATATTGTTGTAATGTGGTCATCTACCGTTCAATACGAGCATTATGATAAGGTTTTTTCATTAAGGATAGTAACGGTTTATGATCAGTTTCCAGAAGAAATTGTTGACGTTCAATATATGATCGAAACTTTTGAGTGACGCGCCACCAATTAGCTAATGCTTCAAGTTCAATTGCAGAATAATTCTTTTCGGCCTTTTTTAAACTTCGAGAGCAAAAGCAACAGGTTTATTTATAGGTATATGTGATGTATCATTAGGATCAGAATGTTACTTTTGTAATAGTGCAGTACCGACACCAACACATGATGTATCTGTACGAATAACATATTGACGAGAAGGATCAGGTAAAATAAGGACCATCGGAGATGTAAGAGCATATTTTAATTGATCAAATGATAATTGTTCAGCTTCTGTCCATATAAGTGGAACCCCCTTTATTTGTAAATTCATTAAGAGGTGAAGAAATTTGAGCAAAACGAGGAATAAATTTCCTATAAAATCCGACCATCTTTAGAAACGAGTGAGCAGCTTTACTAGATTGAGGTAAAGGAAATTGCATGATGGACCTGTCATTATCATCATTAGGTGAACAACCATCGGGAGCTAATTTATGGCCAAGAAATGGGATTTCAGATTGGAAAAAGGCGCATTTATTATAATTCAATATAAAATTGGATTCATCTAACATATGACATACTTGAGTAACGTCTAAAAGATGTTGCTCAAATTAAGGCGAGTACACGACTACGTCATCCAAATAAGCCAGACACAATCACGTGAACTCCCATAAAACGTCAGGGGTTGTGAATGCAGTCCTAGGACGTTCATCAGGTGCTAATGGAACTTGGAAGTATCCAGAACGGAGTTCTAACTTGTAAAATATACTTGAACCATTTAAACGTTCTATAACATCGTCAATGCGAGGCAAGGGGGTAGATGTATTTTTGTGTAATTACATTGAGACTCCGGTAATCGACGCAAAACCTAGGAGATCCATCAGATTTCTTAACTATTACAACTGGAGCAGCCCAAGGTGAATTTGAAGGTTCAATAATTCTATTATTCAACATTTTTTGAACTTCCGTATTAATAACGTGCCGATTAGGATGAGAAACGCGACGTGGATGCTCAGCAACAGAAGAATGAGAACCCGTGTTATTAGCACTCTGTGGTTTACAGGTAATACCTTGTAAACATGAATCATCAAATAATGAATAATAACGATGGAGCATGATATATACTTTCATTTTCTTAACAGGATCATCAATATGTTCGACTAAAGAACTAATAGTATTTGTTGTACTTGTTAAATCTTTATTACAACAATGAAAC